CGTGGCTGGCGCCTTAGCCGGTTGAGCTATAGGCGCCGAGCCATTTTCTTTCTTCTTTTTGCTCTAAAGATAATACTTTTGCCCTTAATATCCTAAAAAAGAACATTTAAAAATATGCCTTCGTCAACATGTACAAAGTTACCATTTTATGAAAAACAAAAATATTATAAAATCATGAATTATTATTAAAAGTATGAAAATAGTAAATGAGAATGGTAAAAGTAAAACAGGAAAAACACATATGGTAAAGTTATAAATAAACAAAAAAGCACTGGCCTCCAAGCTTATTTAGGGAATTTAAAAAAAAAAGCACTGGCTAAAAGTGGGGTTATAATAAAAAATAAGTCTGAGAGCAAAATAAATTAATTACAAAAAAAAGGTGGTATGAATGGTTGATCATTCTGTGGCTATTCCAGCCACTTACACAGTGAGATCCATTTCTTGGATATCCTTGAACTTGATGAATCTTCTTCTCTTCAGGCAGATGCACTGGGCCCCTGCTATAACAGAGCAAGGAGCTGCTATCACTGGGCAGAGGGGGGATTATGGGAGGCTGCTCTGTAAAGTCATAGGACCGAGGAAGTGGAGGACGAGGTGGGACTACTTCCTCTTCCTAAAGATTGTAGAATAGTCACCTTATTTAGATAAGCAGATTGAATTAAGCACATCTAAATTCTTTGCAAAGGTATATCAACTTAAATTTATTTTAAGATACTTAAAGGGACACTGCCAAGCCAAAAGTCTCATATTGAAAAGTAAACCAAAAATCTTAATGAGAGCGAATAATTGGGTTTTAAATAGGGTTGCATCTAATTTTTTTCTGTGACACATAGGTTAGCTTTATACTGAAGCTCAACACTGAAAGAGATCACTGAGTATTGGATTTCATTTTATTTATTTTTTTGAGACAGAGTCTCAAGCTGTCACCCTGGATAGAGTGCTGTGAAGTCATAGCTTACAGCAACCTCCAACTCTTGGGCTTAAGTGATTCTCTTGTCTCAGCCTCCCAAGTAGTTGGGAATACAGGCGCCCGCCACAACACCCGGCTATTTTTTGGTTGTAGTTGTCATTGTTGTCCGGTGGGCTGGGGCTGGATTCGAACCCGCCAGCTCTGGTGTATGTGGCTAAAGCCCTAGCCATTTGAGCTATAGGGGCTGAGCCATGGATTTCATTTAAAAAAAAGAAAGATTTCTCTTTGGCTTTTATACAAAAATTCAAGCACATACATTCTTTGAATTAGGTTGACAGTGTCTCTTTGCAGCTGTAATTTCTCTATGATATTCATGACACATAGCCAACTTATTTATCAATCATTCTACAAATTTTATGAAGTATTAGAAACAATAAGAAATATTCAAATTATTTAGATTAGAAAAATAACAACAATGTTTGAGTTTTAACATAGATGAAAAGTAGTGATTCAATTTTTTTTTTGCATTAAGGGAAGAAATATCACATGTTAGCACAAAATTACTGAATCAATACAATTTCAAGATTAAAACAATTAAGTCTTTATTATGCCTAAGAAACATTATAAGAGAAGACTTAGTTATTTCTAATTCATGTTAGACATTTAATTCATAACTATAAAAACAATCTAAACTTACCTCATTTTTGTACTTAACTGTTGAGAAAGGCTTTAATCCTGCTGTACCTATTTAAAAAAATTAGAAAACATAACTACTTATAATAAATACATCTTTCTAAGAGGATAATTTTATTTCATTTTAAGTGAAGCCTTCAGTTGCTAATCCCACACTTATTAATGCTTTTAGAATTTGAAACCAATTACATTAAAAAATATAAATTAAAACATCAGCTTAAACAAAAGTATGGAGAAATGGGTTTTCTCAAATATTATTGAGCACAATTTGGCACAATCTTTTAGGAGGGCGATTTGGCTATACTTGTCTCAAAATGAAAAATGTGCCACTTATTTCTCACTTCTTGGAATCCATGAAGTATTTGCATGTACGTTCAGTTACGTGTATTAACAACGCTCATCATAGCGTGGCGTATGACAGCCAAAATCTCCTGGAAACAAAATTGCGGAGAAACAGATAGAGCATGATCCCATTTTTGGTTGTTGGGTAAGAATTCCTAAAGCCAAAACAGTGTATCTGTTTGTAATTATACACATAAAACAATCATTATTTTTGTATGAGTATGGATGGTGGAGTTTTTGCTTTTTATGTTGTAAACTTGTATATTGATTCAATGTTATACAGAAGAGTGCCTGTTTGCTTTATGTCAAATTCATAAAAATAGCCAAAGAAACTCAATTGTATGTGTCATTACATTTAGGTAAAAAGCCACGCACTGTATAAGGATGTTTTGGTCAACAACAGACCACATATGTGATCACTATGGAGTTGAAAAGTTCCTACTGCCTCGTCATAGCTATCTCAGTTGTCACAGTACACTGCATTATCTTTTCTGTATTTAGGTACGTTTAGATACGTAAGTACTAACGACTGTGCTATAATCGCCCATTCAGTACAGTAAACACAGTGCACAGGTTTATAGCCAAGAGCCTGGGCGGGCAGTAGGCTGTAGCACTGTGTTTGTGTAAGTGATGTTCACACAATGATAAAATTGTCTAGTGATACGTTTCTCAGATGTATCCCTCTGTTAAGTGATGCAGGACTGTAATTCTGTGCTCAGTCACCACAAAATAAAATGCAAAGCTAATTTACCTATTTCTGCAGTACCTCTTTGCTGTTTATGTTTACTCAGCCCTTCCATGACATCTTGAATTCTCCAAAGTTCTTTCTGAATCTGTGCACGCTGAATTCCTGCTGATTCAGTCTATCAGTATAAACAGATAGACCACATACAGGAAAAAAATCATTAAATGGAGTTATAAATTTCACTAATTATATATTTAAAAACCGAAAACTGCAGTGGATTAAGTTTTAAGAATATTTAATATGATCTATGTGGCTTTCCCAATTTTGCAACTCTAGTGGCAAGGGCAAAAAGTAAAGCAGAGGAAAAAAACATTTGGCTTTTCTTTCTTTTTGGGGGGGGGGGACAGGAATAGTGTCTTAGTATGTTGCCCTCAGCAAAGTGCCTTAGTGTTACAACTCCCAGCAACTTCAAACTCTTGGGCTTAAGGGATTCTCTTCCCTCAGCCTCCCAAGTACGTGGGACTACAGGCACCCGCTGCCCCAACGCCCAGTTATTTTTCTTTTTAGAGACAGAGTCTCACATTGTCACCCTTGGTAGAACGTCATGGCATCCCAGCTCACAGCAATCTCCAGCTCTTGGGCTTAGGCAACTCTCTTGCCTCAGCCTTCCAAGTAGCTGGGACCACAGGTGCCTGCCACAACGCCCAGCCTT